CAATGTTAACGATGATTCAAAATTGTCATGCAATACAAAAACCATTAATAATATCTCGCAGGAATATAAAAGTACTGTATTACAAATTCTACCGAAAATTTAACTTTAGTAAATGAATTCGTACAAGGTTTATTACAAGACTTTACCTCGCATAATAATCAATATTGGGAATCTATAGAAATAACCAGTCCCACATCCATACCAGAAAACCTTCAGAAGCTCGCATATTTATTTTATCAGGCAAGTATCGTTAGAAAAAATTCAATTAATACAAAACGAGAAGAAATTTTATCTTGGGGTCGCTATTCTGAAAAATATGAAGATAAGGTTATAGAGTTTAGATCTGGAGATAAAAATCTTACGGATAAGTCTGCAAGAAACAGGATCTATAACGAAATGAAATCATATCTTTCAGGTATTTCTGATGGATATTTACGTGTGATGACTTGTAAAGCAAGAAAGATTAATAAGTTATTTGGATACGAATACGATCCTGTGACACTAAAAAAGATTAAGGGTATAGGTTGGTATATGGTTAATCGAATTACTTGTAGTGTCGACAGTATTTCAAGACTTACTAATTCTCAAATTCGGTATATTATAAATGAGGTGACTTCAAAAACCGTGACAAAATGTCATGATCAGACTAATGTGACTTTGACCATACCAGCCCCGCTGAAAAAATCAGATGTAAAAGTAAGTGTATCAGTCAAACCTCAAATCAATATAAGTATGCCATCCAAATCCCAAGCCTCTGACTCTTCTGGCTTGATAACCAAGATAAGTTTACCATCAATCTCTCAATCCAGAAAGATCACGCCATACAGTGCTCGTGTTTCCTATATCAACACGATATTGAAAGATTATTCTTACCTATCCTTGCGACATAGTAATCCTCGTAGTGACAGCTATGCATTTAATAGTTTGGGAGCGTGTCCAAAATGTAGGAAAGAGCATAATAAAGGGTTTATAATTGGTACATACATAAATGATTCTTATAACATTAAGTGTAGGTCCTGTTCCCCAGATAGCTTCGTCGGATGTGATTTTTAACTATTATTGCTTTGCAATCGCCTCTAGTAATACATATCTTACTGAATATCACTCCTCACCCTAACCAACTATGACAACTGGTGCAAGTGGTAGATTTGGGAATCTTTTTTCAATGTGGGCTAAGTCTTCGAGAAATTGATTTGATATTCGCTCTCACTTGTGCAATAAAGCCCATCAGTGGTAAAAACAAGAAAATGCCAATCCATACCCGTGGATACAATTCCGTAGAGGTAGTCATAGTCATCATTCCCAAAAGCTTGTTCAGCAGTCCTTTTTTTCTTATTTGTATGATACGCACTCTCGAGTTGGATTATGTTCTATCGAAATAACCATAAAGAAGTTAATTAAGTGTAGAATAAATACAAGATAATATAAATGATTAGTTATGTAAAATATGAAGTCATACTTGTAAATATCCAATTTTGATGTTACGAGGTTTTCCTTCTGCGATACACATGAGGTCTTCCTTTCCCTTGATCGCATAATCAACACGACCAGATGCTTCTTCACCAGAGATGTCTTTCTGCAATGATATGTAGAACTTTTCCTCTTTGGTGAGTCTTCGAACAATGGCAAGTGACGCATGTAGGATGGACGAAATAAATTCACAGCGAGTTGCTTCGTTGGCATTGGTCATCGTCTCAATATTCGTTAGTATTAGTATTATGTCCGCCACACAGTGCTTAAACGCTTCGTCGTTGTCATCGATTTCCTCAAAAACTGGATTGAATTGTTTTATGCTTGTTATATCCTCCCCATTGACTTTATATTTACAGAGTACGTCCTTTAACTCTTCCAATGTTTTATATGACGAGAAGCTACGTATCTTTTGCTCGGTAAGCTCTTCGGCAAAATCAGAAAGTCTAGTTGCAGGTCCCAATGCAAAGCCAATACTCCTAAGTTTTTCTTCTGTTAATTTGAGAAAGTCACGACCAGAAATCCTTTCATTACGTAGGATCTTGAAATCTGCTTCGACAAGATCTAAATCTTCCCGCCTCTGTAGATAATCAATAAGTTCTTCCGTCTTATAATTTTTGACCACGTCCGCAATCGTGCGAGTTGACCTTTCTTCCGTCAAAGTAGAGGATGTAGAAATAGGTGAGGAAGGTGAAGAAGCGTATGAAGTCATATTACTTTTATATGTGAGAAATTGCGAAATCTTGTTTATGTATCTCGCTAATAAAAGCTAGGTAATGCGATGCAAGTGAAAAATGAAAAATTTTATCGTATCTGTTTTTGGGTGATCGGTGGTTTATATACTACGATGGAAGTTACACGAACTGGTTAGGAGATATGAGACCATTGAATCACGCCTAACACGTCGTTGTTTTATTATTATGAAAAACTTGCCCGTATTAAGACGGATGCAAAAAATAAAATTGTAATACATTGCTATGACATGGTGCAAATGTAGATAAAAAAAATCTAATTATTGGGAGGGGTTACATAAACATGAATTTCATTTTCATCAGAATTCCCATTAAAAAATTTAGAAATTCTAACCGTTGGTTTCATAGACCCACCATTTGGGGTTAAACTAAGTTTGATTTGAGTAGAAGGAATGGTATCAAATAAAGGCGCCAACCGTTTTTTTACGATAGGTTTAAGGGCGTCAACCTTTTTGTCGTTGGAAATTTCAATTGTAAAAACTTCATTTTCATTATTGTTTCCATCGATTTGAAAGTTAAGACTAACAATGTCTGCCATTTCACCGAAATCTTATTTCATAGGTCAATCGTGAGTAGAGTTTTCGCTTACAAACTTTGTTATTCATAACACATACCTTAAGTAAAAAATGTGAGAATGTAAGAAATTTTCAGAAGAAACAACTTCGCCTGAGTAATATTGTTAACTATATAATGTAAGATAAATTCAGCTTATCTTTATATGCTTTATTTATTTCGAAACTTACTAGAATGATCCAAACTTTATCAAGCGAATCTCCGATTTATAGAATATTGAAATCATATAAATACCAGAAATAGAGATCTCCGAACTTGTTACGATTTTCTAGGAAAAGAGCTACGCTCCTCAACCTCCATAGAAAGCATTGTTATATGTAACTAAACGCCAAGGCCTGTGAATATGTGGAGTATTTCGTCATAGATGCATGAATGAGACCCTTTAGCCTGACGATCGCAACGAAATCAGTTAATGCAACGACGATCCGGAATTGCAGAGATTTCAAAGCCCCATAACTCACAATTTCTGATAACAGAGCTGATAAGAATCAACAGGCTATTTACACTTATTGCCTTTTCGAGGTTCATTTTCACTCGCCCTTATCGTAAAAGCATGTGTAATATTAGAGGTATTTCCGAGTGAAAAATACCGATTATCATATATAATACACTTACGTAATTACGCATGTTCTACGAATTTCTATGTCGATCTTATCATGACGTGATTGGCTTATATTATTCCGAAATAATTAAGTTAATAATTCATCTCTAAATATTCTCGCAACTCATTATAATCATTTATGCCAACGATATTATCTTTTCGAATGTTTCTGACTTTAATAAAGCCAGTTGTCATGCTATATATATGCTCATATTATGTCTAATGCTTATGTTTAAAATTTTATCCGGATACATATTTAGAATTTAGATAATACCGATCCTGAGCATGTTTCATAAATGATCCACCTGGTCGATAGAGCCACTCAATTACTGCATGTTGGATTATTTTAGCAGAATTAATTTGTTTTTTCCATAAACGATATGTCTGCTGGATAATTAATGATGCACGATTTTTTTTATACAATGATAGTTGAACTTTAAAATTCCTAAATTTGAGGTCATTACCTATTTGCTTATGACTGGTTAAATTAGTTTTGATACGAAATACAAAATTCTCCCAATAATCTCTACTATTTATTTCATATCCTAATTTTACTAAACGATTGCGTATATATTTTGGTGGATAATATTTTGCAAATCGTAACCATGCTTCTGACGTTTTAATATTGTTAACAATATAATTTTCACCATATTCACTTAATTTATCTTGTACTTTGTTATAACTCCTATTATATATTTGATATCTAAAACGTGAGCAATTTATTAACTAAGACTTTTTATTTAATAGATAATCAATGGAGCTAACCGAAAAAATATATATGGCAGATGGGTAGGTCGACTCGCTTTCCTACATTAAGTAAATATAATTATATCTGATAATCGAGAATTTTTACGCTTTTATTATTGCAGTTTCTGCTAATTGTTTTTTAAATTCTCTAAATTCTGGATTATATGCTATTTGTTTTCTCATGTATAAATTTATTCTTAATATGGAATATGAAGTTTTCCCATTGGTCTTTGTTTTTAATATCATAACCAGGTATTAATAAATAGCGTCTCAAATATTTTTCTGGATTCAATTATTACTTAACATGTCAAGCTCTAGTAATATCGAAATTAATAAACAAATCAATGAATATAAAGAAAAGCTGGTTGCAAAAGGAATGTATGGCGATAATTTTTGAGATTTTATCTCTTGGCGGATTTATTGCTAAACGAATTTTACTTCATGAGCAGGATGTAAGTTATGTTCGTAATAATAAAATAGAGCATGTACCACATGAAGAGTTTCTTAAGCTAATTAAGGTAATAGAATTATTTTATATCCTGTATAAAAAAAATTTCGAAACATATGGTCTATTCGATATTGATATTGATTAGCCAGCCTTGCATTTATATTTCAGTACCCATAGTCTTCCTACTAGTTCCTGAAATATCAGATCATTATCTTGTTTAACCATATCTATAAACCTTCGAATTAGATATTTATTATCGTTCGAGCATAAAAAATTGATATATACATTATAATAAGTAGAATGATTTGGTGATATTTATTCTTCAGGAATTTCACAATCACCATATAGGTGCGTTGTAATCCCATCCACAATTTTGTATCTAATGGGTTAATACTTCTCTTTGTTTGCTTTATTCTATGCATTCGATGTCTGTAACTTCGGAGGAATTGAGCGGTTCGTGGTTGATCCTCTTTTCCTTCTAAAACACAATCTTCGAATATTTTATGTGTAAGCTCTTTCTTGATAAGAGACTTTTTAAGACCCTTTGCTTTGATCATATTTTTTTGTGGATTTTCTGTAATAACACTATAACATTTCGCTCTAACCCCGACATAACCAGTAACTCTGATACCTGCATTTTCATCCTTCCATTTACCTATAACTTTGGTATTTTTTAAGACACGCTTACCTTCTTCGTTAATTATCCATTGATCTTCTGGAAGATTCTTTATTACCCAATGGTCTTCAGGGTAATCGCTAAAATCGAATAAATCGCAATCATCAACCATGTCTTGATATATATTTTCCGTCTCAATTTCTATGATTAGAGAATCTGTATCAGTATATAAAAGTTTTACTTTATCACCATATTTCTTTTTAAGATATCCATACCAAAAGTCATACATATAATATTTCGATAGATCAAGAATACATGCACCAACATATTCCGGTTTATTGAGTTTCACATTGGTTTGCCTTCGATGTACTGCAACTAAATTAGCTCCATAGAAAATCTTCCGACTAACAAATGCTGGATCGTCGTTCTTCTCCTACCTGTCTCACCAAATCTATATTTACACGTTTTCTCACATCCTCCATAGTTTTCCCAAATACTGAATTGTTCATTAATTTCCAGAAATCTTTTTCGAATGCATTCTTTGCTTTGGCTCGTCGCTGTGTATTCATTGCAATGTATGGTTCCATCCATGGTGATTGATCAAATTCTAAAACCCGATATACTTTTTCTAGAATATACCCCTCTCTTATACACTGCTGTAAATTTCTATAATGTATAACGTAGTGATCTTTATCATGGAGAGTTAATATAAGTTTTTCTGTATCTGAATGATGTTTACCTGCCCATTCTTTTTGTTTTGAACTATACCAATCATATGGTACATTCTTTCGTTCTGGACACATAGGATAATCTCGAAATTTAGGCTGTAACTCTTCTGGAATTGATAACTTAACTTCTAAGCAACATCCCCGATTTGATTTTTCTTTTAACGATAAAATTTTCTGCACTAATGGAGAATTAGTATCGAGAGGTTTTGTTGATAGCCATTTAAATCCTCCAGTTGGCAAATATTGACTCATTGCCCAACCATATACAGTAAGTTATTGGCATCTAGATAGAGTAACCATTTTTTCGCTTTTTTTCCGACATATCCTTCTAATCCAGGAATATTTGCTCTGGCTATGCGACGTCTAGCTAAAGACATACCTCCTCTTTTCATAGCTGTAAAGAAATCGTGCATATCCCCTTGATGCTCATTAAATAATTCTAGTTTTACTTTAGTTACCTTCATACAAGCGTCCCACGCCAAGCCTGGAGCTGTTAGATAATTTGCTGGATCTAACTTGAATGCATCATATGATGCTTTTCGGAATGCTTCGAATGCATCAGCTAGAATTAGTACATCAGTTTTAAGATAAATATCATGATAGTCACCAAAAGTCTTGCAACCTGTTTCTAGCCAAACTGTTTGTGCGAAATTGTAATCTTTTTGAGATATGGTGTAAAATTTTTCATGTTCACATTCTTTGTTTTCTTCACATTCATTGCAATTACCTGATTCTTTTTTATGCTTACATTTCTTGCATTTATGTTTACATTCTCCTATTTTCTTTCCATGCTCACATTTTTCTATTCTACAATTATGATCGCAATAATTATAACCGTCTAAGTCACTATTAAAATCCTTACGTGGTGATAGTCGTGTTTCATTAAATTTCTCTTTGCTATTTAACCATTGATATGGGAATATTCCTTTTCGTGTAAGTAATGATAGTAAATTAGGTGAAATGAACTTTGACATAATAGGAAAACATTTGGCAAGTTGTTCCGGTGTTTTAGTTTGACCCTTCTTTTCATCACGTAAATTTTCTGCCATTTTAGCTAAACCAGGTAACGAAAATTTTATACTGTCGATAAATTGAAGTTGACCAACTGAGAAAGTAATATATTGCTCTGAATTATTTGCTATGGGTATTATTTTTTCATCTGTTACTTTCGCTATTTCTTGCATAAGATGGTGAAAATCATAACCGCTTCCATTACAAAGTAGTACTGGGATTTTTATTGTTTCTGGATCAATTCGTAATTTAAGATTGCAACTATTGTGTGCCGGTCCACGAAATTTTCCTGTAATATGATCGTGATCTAATACCTTGTTTTTTCCTTCATCTGGTAATATTGTTTTACAATACATACATTTTTTACACGCATCATGTGTTTTCTTTTCTTCATAATCTAGTATACCTCGAATCAATTCTTTTTTTCCGTGACATTTTCTATGTGAAGCTCCTAAATATTTCTTAGTTTCTGGATCGAATACTCGAATTTTATTGTATCCTGATTCGTGTAATTTTTCTTCACATATCCAGCACTTATTTGCCGTTTGATATTTTCGCCATAATTCAGGAGTCATTTTTTCACATGGAACTATTTTACGAAGCTTATCTAAAATAATATCTAGATCTTCTTGAAGGTTTTTCATTAAGTCTTTTATTATATTTTCGGATTCTCGATTAATCACAGGTTTTTGCGTTGTTCCATCTGAACAATGAATAGTATATCCATATGAAACTGCTATCTGTTCTGCTTCTTTTATAGTGTTTCCTTCTTTATCTTTTTCCTCTGCTTCGATTTCTTTTGCTTCTAAATCCATAGTAATTAGATAGGGTTTCATTAACATATTCTTGATATATTTGGGTTTCACATAATTATTACCTTCTTCTGGAAGAATTAAACGTTGTGAGGCTTTACTTGGACCTGGGCATGTAAGAATATGTTCTTGTAATAGATCTAATCTACTATATGGAAATCGCAAGCATTTTCGACAGAAATATTTTTTACCATGATGGTTATTCCACTTATGCATTAATCGGCTGAAATCTGTTATAAATACATAATGTGTTTTTAATCCTTCTGGTATATCATTTGTATTTTTTCGATCATTTAAACTCTCTTCACCTTCTGTTAAGTATAATAAATCTATCATATGTTCGACTTGATAATTTCTTTCAGAGATATGTAATGGATCTATATCTACTTTTATTTTTCCGAACACTTCTTTATACACCGGCCTAAATATATTTATAGCATAATTAGGGTTGTTTTCTTCGAATTTATCTATATCATGTAGTGTGGCAGGAAAATTTATATTATTAAAATTAGCAATATTCGCATTTCGCCTAAGTCTTCGAATTTCATTAAGATGGGGTGGCTTCCTATTAGCTTTTAATGCTTCCTCTCTTGTATGATATGCACTTATACACCATTTAAAACACTCGTTATCATCATTATTTTGCGGATTAATTAATCCTAGTTGAGGTTTATCCAAAGCTTCTGGTAAAGGTAAATAGTTACTACCACGTAGTGGCCTGAATGCACTTATCTCAAGAAATACTTCTTCTGCTCGAACAAATGACCATCCTGATTCTTGTATTGCTTCATCCTCAATCTGGTCTATAATTTCGTTATATCCTTTTTCTATAGTTGCGTTAATTCGATCTTCTCTAATAATTTCTATAGTTTCATGCTTGAAAGGAAAAGTTTTGTATATAGGTTCTGGTGTTTCCGGTTTTTTTTTCTTCATATATGCATATAACACGATTCTTACCTTTAATCCTCCTTTTAAACCTAATTCTCTTTTATATACATTAGCAATTTTTTCCTCAATTGATTCAAAGAAGTCTAATGGCTCGTTTTCCGCATAATAACCTTTTGGCACAAATGCATAGTAATCACATACTTCTCCTTCATTAAATTTTTCGGTTTCCGATATTCTATTAATATATGGATCTTTGATTTTTTCGAAATAGATATTTGGATCTTCATCGGCTGTATCATATTCTGAATCACTTGGTTCACTATCTTCATCATTAGTTTCCATTAAATCATACCATTCTTCATCTGTTTTAGGTATAGGGTTTGATCTAATTTTTTTATTATTTTTAATTCCTGGTTTTGTTAACCATTTTATCAACTCATCTATCATTAAAACTGATTTCTTTTTTTGTTCTCCTTGAATAATAGAACTTGGCCCAGCTTTTATATTTGGAATATCATTAGTTAAAAGGTCGACAGGCGGCACATTTTCTTCTCTCAGCTGGGCTGGCTGATGCATCGGTTGGCTTTCATCAAATGAAATGAGATCGTTTTCTGGAGCTGGTGCTGGATTTTGAATGGGTGGATTTCCTACTGGAACTGGGTTTTGCATTAAACGCACAGCTGGCAAGCACTGCCCCTTACGAAGGTTTCCATTAAAATTTATA